ATTCCAGTCAAAGGCACATGCCTGGGTTGCAGGCTCCATCCCCAGTTGGGGGGCGTGCAGGAGGCAGCCGATGAATGATTCTCTCTCATCATTGATGTTTTGACATTTTATCTCTCTCATCCTTCCTTTCTTAAATCAATAAAAATATTTTTTAAAAAATAAAATGAAATGGGATGGCTATCAGTAGCACCAACACCGTAGGATTCTGGAGAGAACTAACTGAGATCGTGTAAATAAAGCTCAGCACTTCTTGGTCCGTAGGAAGCTCCGAGTCATTCTCCAGCCCTGTCTAGAGGGCTTCTACCCTCTCAGGTTGCGGGTTTTCTGTTTGTTTGTTTTTAAATATATTTTATTGATTTCTTACAGAGAGGAAGGGAGAGGGATAGAGAGTTAGAAACATCAATGAGAGAGAAACATCGACCAGCTGCCTCCTGCACACCCCCCACTGGGGATGTGCCCGCAACCAAGGTCCATGCCCTTGACCGGAATCGAACCCGGGACCCTTGAGTCCGCAGGCCAACGCTCTATCCACTGAGCCAAACCAGTTAGGGCATCAGGTTGCGGTTTTGATGACAAATGTTATTCAGAGTCAGAAAACACATTTTCTGCATTCTCTGCAATTCCTAGACTTTAAAAAGAAATTATACCCTGCTAATCAGTTCTGTTCGTTTATACCTGGTAATGCCCATCTTTTTTTAAAATTTATTTTATTGATTTTTTACAGAGAGGAAGGGAGAGGGATAGAGAGCTAGAAACATCCATGAGAGAGAAGCATCGATCAGCTGTCTCCTGCACACCCCCCCACTGGGGATGTGCCCGCAACCAAGGTACATGCCCTTGACCGGAATAGAACCTGGGCCCCTTCAGTCCGCAGGCCGACGCTCTATCCACTGAGCCAAACCGGTCAGGGCTGGTAATGCCATTCCTGATCTCCCAGGATTTGTAGCTTTCTAATCCCACAGAAGTGCAGGTAAGGAACTATCCTACCCTTTCATTCTCCTCCCTTCCCTCCGAATGCCAGACCCCTGGGCCTCGAACGCCTTGTTACCTACTGAATGGGTACAGTGGTCACGGAGGCCCCACATCACCCACTCCCCGTTCCCGTAAACCAGGATGCCCTTCTGTGGGTTTGGTCTTCTTGCGCATCTGCATTGTGGGGCCTGGAC